ATGTTGAGCACTAGGTCTGTACTAGGTACTGTGCTAAGAACTTTAGATGTGGCAACATGTTGAACTCTCACAATGAATGTTTGAGGTGTGAAGTTGTATTAGGATTCCCATTTTAAAGATGAGGATATGACTTGGCATGTCTAAGGCTGCACAACTAGCAAAGTGGGCAGATTTGAACTCAGAACTGTGATTTCACAATCCGTAATCTTGAGCACTATGCTATGCTGCCTCCTCTAAGGTAGAATGTATAAAATAAATATTTACAGACAAATGAACCCTTAATAAGATCGTGTGGCCCAAAATGTAATCAGTATGCATGCCATATTTGACACTCTGCTTTGTGAGCTCTGCCTGTCCTGTTACTCCCCAGATGATAAACTTTCGCCTCTTTCTCAACCTCTAAATGCCACCCAAATTTCCAATTTGACAGGATGCTGAGAATCTTATATTTTGTGCCGTCCCAAGTTATTTCACTACTCTTTGCTTTTCCTTCCCAAGAAGGAAGATGAACATTCAGTGGGGCGGTGACTCTAGCCCAGAATCCAACTTTTGTACTTAGAGAGAGCCAATAGCTAGCTCTCCCCACAGTGTTCACTGCTCAATGGAATTGCTATTTGGCAGCTCAAAAGAAGGTCTTGCTAGAAAAGAAATTTATTGCCCTCCTCACCCTCCCCTTCAGTGACTCCTACCTTACTGCTTCCTGTTAGAAGGCTTTGGAAGCCATTTGCACTGTCAAATAGCACCATTTTCCTTGGTGGTATGACATTATTGATTGAGATAATTCTGGTTTTTTAAAATGTCATTTATGGCAAGTGCAATTCCTACTTGGTTAGCACATGCGTGGTTTGTCTTGTATATTCAATCTGGTAGCAGAATGCTTATTTTTTTTCTTCTTCTGGAGTTGTTTTCATTGTTGAAATAAAAAACGGGTCAGAGAACTGTTACCCATGAACTCCTCTCAATTAGGAAACATTGCCCTATTGCTTTCTTCTTGCTGGACCTACTTTTTCTGAGGACCTACTTTAATGTATTTTAGTTGACCGGACTGGTTTATTCAAATTGGTTTGAACACCATTCTAACGAGGCCAAGGTAGACCTGTTAGTGTATCCTCCTGGACCCTGGATGCCCCGGTCTCCTTGTAAATCTGCGTGCTGCTCATAAGGGAGAAGAGACACAAAGACAACCCTACTCTAAGCACATACTTCGTAGACATCAAATTTTGGGTACAAAGGGCTGCATATTCTATTATTTAGTTGATAGTGTCAAACGTCTTGCTTACTAGAGGTACTTGGGAAAAGAAGAGCAGTAAATTTAAAGGACAATACCATCTAAATACAGTCATGTGTCACTTAACAAGGGGGACAGGTTCTGAGAAATGCGTCCTCACATGATTTCGTCGTTGTGCGAACATCTTAGGGTGTACTTACACAAACTTAAATGGTACAGTCTACTACACATCTAAGCTCTGTGGTACTAATCTTATGTGACCACTGTTATATATGCGGTCTGTCATTGACTGAAAGGTGATTATGCGGCACATGACTGTAATAATGGTGCAAATATGACTTGTCCATTTGGAAGACATGCAGAAAATGGATGGAAGAAGAAACATGGTGACCTAGGCAGTGAAACAATAAAGAACCGTGAACTGCTTCCTCTTTCTTGAATGTCTTGGTTACATTCTCTGTGAGGGAGGGAGATGTTCCTTGGTTCACATACAAATAGACATTTGTTTATAGGAACAGGGGAAAAAACTGTAGCAAAGTATCTGCTCAGAACGGACTGCAGCAATCCAACACTGTGTTATTCCAGCTGATTCCAGGCAACAGAATGCAGACAAACACTGTGGCTACAAAAAAAATCAGAATTCTTGGGGTTTGTTAAAGTCACCGTTTGCTGCGGAAATAATCTGTAGGTTTTCCCCCCATCAGAACTTGCCCAGGCACATCGACCTAGTAGTGGTAACAGGCCTTTCCCGTGCCTTCAGTTTCGGTTCTTTTTCAAGCTTTTCTACCCTTTAGCATGTTTCCTGAACGAAGACCAAATTGTGATCTTGTAATGTCTCTTTTTAGGACACCCAAGAGGTGGGGATGTACAAGTTTCCAAAGCCAGAAAATCCCGCCCCAAGACCCTCCCCACCAAGAAAGTTGCTGCAGTCCACGCTGCCCCCAAAGAACCAAAGTGCAGGCCCCAGGTCTGCAAGGGACCAAAACTATTACCACAGACAGACCTTAGGGATAACACCAGTGGACCAGCCTCACAGATACTTATCTGCAGTTGCCTAAAATTTAAAGAAAAACTACAGGAGTGATATAGTTCAGAAAATAAGTGTGTCTGTGGGCAGGTAGTACGACTCCCTGTAACCATAAAGGACTTTGCACAAACGCACCCTCATTCCCTTCCTTCTGCGCCTGTTTCCCAGCTCATCCAGCAGGTGTCACTATAATCACAGAACAAACATTCCACAGCATGGTAGGTCACTTTATTTTTCTAGCATAATAATTTAAAGTATTTACACACTGCACACTCACTGTTTTACACAGATACTTATTCATATACCTATGAACCACATCTAAAGGTTTCTTTGCAAAGACTCCACACACTTGCGGGGGGAGGGGTTCCAAGCATAACAAAAAGGACAAAAAAATGTTTTGAGTCTTTTAAAAACAGCCATGTGGAGCATCTGTGAAAACCAGTGTTTTCCTCCAAGTTGTAAGCTCCCCCTAGTAGGCCTGTGAACAGCTATAGCCTATCCATGTGTTGGTACGACCCAAAACTCTTCTGGTTAAGGAGGATTTCAAGAACAAACATGTGCAAGTAGCATTTTCCCTAGAAATCCTAGAAAAGAAACAGGAGAAAATAAACCTGGCCCTTCTCTAGAGAAATACCTGTATTTCTGAAACAGTTATCTGTGGGGACTGTAAATGTTGTACAGGGACACTGATCATAAAGGGAGAATAGCTAAATACACCGGTACTAATACTAGTGACGTAGGATGCTTTTAAGCATCCTTCCCAGCTAAATGTTATGGCAAAACCACCCCATTTTCTCTTTCCAACTATTAACAGAGGTGGTTGTTTTGCTTTCCCTGAAAAGGACAAAACTATATTAATTATATACACTCTATACCCAGATACTGTAGAAATTTCTACTATTGTTTTTACTTCACTTTTATACTATTTGCACAAAAATAGTGGTTAGAAGTACCCTAAATATTTTTCCTCCTTCGTTCTACTCAATTACATAACAAAATTGCTAACTAATTATCGCTTCTGAACCCGGCACATGGTTCCACAGAACAAAAGCAGCTGCAGTTCAGAGCTGATGGCAGGTAGGCTCCAATCCAGTTTTGGTAAAAGGATAACAGGTTTAGATTTCAACTCTCTGGTGCTGTGTCTCTATCGAGTAAGAAGCAGGATGCCATCATGATTTTCCCAGACCGGCCAAGATTATTCTCTCACATACCAGAAGGTAGAGGGGTTCGCCACCACTAGATGAACCCACAGCTCCATCCTGCGACTGGATGATAGATCAGTTCACTAAGAGACAGAACTTCACAAAATGACATCCTCTTTTCCTGCTAGTGTGGGCCTCTGGCAGTGCAGGACAAAAGGAAGAAATGACTGGCCAACTAAAACTAAGCACAATTTTGACTACTATGGTAGTCTAATTACTATGGTATCTAAAAGTTCATTAACTTTTGTTGGCATTTATGTAGACTTGATTAAGGTAAAGTACAAATTGTATCACTTTCTCTTGGAACCAAACATTTACATTTCAGATATAACAATATAAACCTACCTATCCTGGAGTTCACTTTCTCAGTTATTCACTTGCTCTGTTGTCGCCTTTTGTGGGTGGTGGTTTCCTTTTGCAACAGGGTGCTAACAAAGGGATGGAAAAGGCAAGGAGATATTTTATTTTATAGAGATTTCACCAAGTTAGATGAGCAACTGGCTAAATAATATTCACTTACAGATGATAAGAGGGAGAGTATCTGATCAAAGAGAGAGAGCAACAACACTGCTTAGTGAAGATGAACCAGCACCCAGTCAGGCCAAGGAAGCTTTTCTGTCATTAGTACCCTATTCCGTTCCATCATGCATACAGACATGTGAAAGACTGAGGAACACCCTGGTGTGGAGGGCAAAGACCAGAAAACTTTGTGACGGGATATGGGCCTTGACGTTAAAGAAAGAATCTAACAACCCCCACATCTGGGTTCATAGGTGAGGTTCAGGAAAGCTTACTGGGGTCGGGACATGGAGCAGAGTGTTTTTGGGCCCAAACAGCCAAGGAAGAGAAGGCTAAGAACATGGCACAAATTATAGAGAGAAGAGCAAGCCGTGATCACTAAATTTATGCTGTTGTGTTTTGTTTGTTTGATGCAGAATAGAGTTAAAAGAGGTAAGAACTACAGTTTAAACAGGGACATGGGACGAGAAAAAGGCTGAAAGCTACTTACTGGTGACTAGCAAAATGCCTAGTATTTATCTACGAACTTGCCATCACTGGCCCCTTCTGACCTACAAAAACAGCAGTTTCATATGGTTCAACCTAAAATACCGCAAGTGCTCAGATCTAACAATCCTAGTTAATAAGAATTGCAGGAATATTCTCCCCACTCTCTGAAGAAGTGGCAGCTGTTAAAGAGGGAGACGGCTTCCTGGAGATCAGTGTTTGACAGAGCCCAAAGCACCTGTAAGGGGGATTAACTCTCCCTCCAAACTGAGTGAGGGCAGAAGAAGGGGTAAGGACCTCCCCAGTTCAAAGGAACGAGGCAGCTCCACCAGGAGGCACCAGTGAGAGCTGCCACTGCGGCACATCAGTAGCAACGGGAACGGGCAGGAGGGAACAGCTACAAACAACATCACTGTCATCTTCAAAGGGAATGCTGCGTATGACTGTGTATATGTACTATACATACTAACCAGGTACACACATAAATATTTAATATATAAAAAATAAAGTGCTTTCTAATAGGTCCCAGGCAGGGACATTATAAAACATTTCACAAAACTGCAAAACAAAATCGATACAATCAAAGAATACTACATCCAACATACGTGAGAACAGTCAAACACAATATGTACAATCTGGTGGGTGTCCCAGGACAAACATCCTGTCATATACATGGTATATACATATATACTCTTTTACTCAATATATTATGACAATATATATTTTAAAATTTTGTTATAGACAAAAAAATAAAAAACAAAACAAAAGACAACCCCTAAAAAAACACAATAAGGATCAAGCATGTGAGTCCTAGACTGAGAGACACGTGGCTGCCTCCACGGGGAGTCCCACGGCTGCTGCTCGGGAAAATGTGCCAGCGTTCCTTCCTTGGGTGCAGCGCCTCCACATCCTCCAAGGCACTGTGGGCTGCGGCAGTGAAGTTGGCATCACCAGTGGTGAGCAGGTCAAAGACACAGGACTGGAAATAGATGTCCTTCACTGGCATCTTCTCGTGGCATTGAGCGTTGGCAGTCTCCAGTGTGTAGCCAGGCCAGGCCTGCACCAGGGAGGTGCGAGGCAGGGTGTGCCCCAGGATGGCAGACACCTGGCCCTGCCCATCATCGATGCGCTCGCTCAGGGGGCAGCCGTTCACACACAGCTGCAGGTCCTGGCTTTCCTCGTAGGACATGGCCAGGTCTTCGGGCATGCGGATGGCGAGGGTCAGGTAGCGACCCAGCTGCCGCACAAACACCGTGGTGCCTATGTAGCGGGCGTGCATCTCCACGTAGCGGCCACTCTCCCTCTCCACGATACGCAGGCTCTTGGTGTCACCGTCCCCACCGCTGGTGCTGCCATCCACAAAGGCAGCTGGCAGGTCATCTGTCACAGCTTGGTATACTTTCTGATCTGTACACTCCCGGTGGGCTTTGAAGATGATCGTGATCTGTGGGAAGGAACACATACAAAGTTTAACACGACGGGAAGGAGAGTGGACGCTGCATCCCTCTGCAGCAAGAGTTCCCTCCATTCTGGAGTTGAACGGCTAGAGAGAGAATCTTCTAACTCAGCCCATTTGCTCCTGTCTCACCAACGAATGCTGTCATTGTTAGGGAGAATAAAAAAAGTCCTCCGTATTAAGAATGAAATTTGAACACAAATCCAGAGAATGTCTATCAGGAAAATTCTTTCCTTTACTTTTCTAAGGCAGAACAGTGTTGCTGTTGGGGTACAGGCAATTTTTATTGATAATTTATATCTTGTCTCTGTCCAAAAACAGATGAGCTGTGGTACAGCCCTGAGGAAAAAAAGATTCATTTCTAAGTTACGCAGAAACTTGAAGGGGCTTAATTAACAATATACCTAACAGAACTTTGACTTCTAAAAAGATTCTTCATGGGATTATAAAACCATATCCCATGAGTCATCACTACAAACTTATAAACACCAAGGGACGAAGCAGAGAGTTGAGGAGGGGGCCACTCCAGCAACAGCTACCCATCATGCGCCTCAGGAAAGATTTCTCTAAGTCTCTTAATCAAATGTTTCACATGACTGGCTAATCCCTGTGACAGGGAAATCACTTGGCAAATATAGCTCCCAAGCGCTGGCAGAGAATAAATACCCTAAACCTAGTTACAGCAAATGTTTTCCCCAAACAGCACCATGGCCCTTTAACTTTTCAGAAATTTTTTCCCCAGCCAACTCTCAATTCTCCAAATTAAGCAGACAATTCACAGAGAAAAAACTACTGATAATACAAAAGCTTCTCTTTAATGAACCCACTTTCTTTCCTTAACTAGAACAGTTACAAAAAAACTGAACCTTCGTGCACCTTCGCCTCCAACATACTCAGCATCTCTGGTACAAGCGGTGGAAGGAAGATGACCATGAAGAGACAGGGCCTTCTGGGTCACACAGGTGGGAAAAGTGTCCCAAAGGAAAAAAAAAAGACTACATTTTGAGATTCGTGTTATTGTCAGTAACTTAGGTAACAGCTTACTTTCCTTTCTTCTTGAAGAAGAAAAAAAGTATCAGGTGACTTTAGTCAAGGAGGAAGGTAGACAGGCTGAACACTCTACAAATTACTCTGGACGGAGGAAACCTTCCACCTCCTGCAAGGGAACTAATCAAGACAATAGACCCTTGTTAAAAACGCCAGAAAATGCCCTGCCCCCTCCCCGCCCCTCTCTCTACAAGTCCTCACCACCACCCTCAAGTTTATGTCTGAAGTTTTTTTTCCCCAACTCGGCCAGCATTTGCTCACACTATTTAATTCCACATGTTCCCACTGGTGTTACTTGACTGGAATTTTCCAGCCATTTCATTTTACTTCAGCCAGTTATAAAGCCAGATCTGAACCAGCTGCACTGTAGCAACCGGCTAAATTCATATCCGTTGTTTGCAGCTGCAACTAAAAGCCAGACAATGTCCTATGAAAATGCTTGGTTTTCTCCCTTCCTAATTATCCTGAGCCACAATTTAATTTCACTACCAGCCTTCTCACATTTCAACACCTTCTTAACAACCCAAAGGAGGTGTACCAGAGATGATTTCAGGAAATTTGTTGTGCATCCAACCATAGGACCTTCCAGAGTGCATGGGATTTTGAGCGAGATATCTAATAGGACTATAAAGTAGATTTATTTGGTGGCTCTAAAGACAGTTTGACAAGTGCTTTTTTAAGGCAAGCTAGGATCTCTTGGAAGTAAAAAGATTAATTCAAGTAAATTCTGCACCTGAAGGAGTGGAAAGTTTATACAGATGGCTAAAATAAGAGTTAGTAATAGACTTTTCATATAATCACTATCCTCATTTTCAACCAGAACATTCACTCAAAGATTAAACAAACTCTTCTACAACAGCTAAGTAATTTGTCTTTCTAGTCTAACAAACCTCAAATTTAAACCAACTTGGCATTATTTGCAAGAACTAAGTGCTTTTTTGTTCACCTTAGGAAAAACAAAGAGGAATTAGTTTTGTTCGGACAACAAAGCCGAGAGCTCCAATTCCAAACAAGTTTCCAAAAAGGTAAGCGAGGGTCACTATTAAGATGAAACCGTTCCACGTCTTACTCAATCTCTGTTGTTTTCACAAAGCTCACCAATTCCAACTGAGGAGTCAGCCGCCTCACACATTACTGTCCTCTGCTACGCCTGTGACAATTAGTAACTCCCACAAACCTAGATCAAAGAAAACTCAAAGCCTGACCTCTGTACTAGTATCTACACTTACAGATTATTCCAGTTTACCTAACAGATTTTGTCTGTCTGTCCAACTTCCTAGGAGTGATTTTCTCTCTGAGACAATGAAGCTGGTATTTCTCTCACTGTCTCTTTTGGGTGAAATAATTCTCATGGAGCATATGGATAGAATTAGCCCTTGAATCAAAATGCTAAGGATGATGAATCCATCTCAATTCCTGAGAGGAGTTTGCTGAGTGGTCTTCTGTAGTTTAAGTATGTACTGAAGCGGCATCGAGAGATATAATCAATGTAAATGCAGAAAACATCAAGTAACAGTTTCACATGACTTAAGTTTTTTTTTTTTTTGTGAGGAAGATCGGCCCTGAGCTAACATCTGCCAACCCTCTTCTTTTTGCTGAGGAAAACTGGCCCTGGGGTAACATCTGTGCCCATCTTCCTCTACTTTATATGGGACGCCGCCACAGCATGGCTTCACAAGTGGTGCGTTGGTGTGCGCCTGGGATCCGAACCCCGGGCCACCAGCAGCGGAGCACGCGCACTTAACCGCTAAGCCACGGGGCCGGCCCTGCACGTGACTTAAGTTTTACAATGCAATATCATTCCTCACACTAGTTACAACACAAGCTCTTAAAAAGCGAGCACTCAGCCATGAGCGCCAGAAATTCATTTTCAGATTCTGCCTCCGTTTTCAGAAAAACAAAATTTATTCATTCTTAATAATTCTTACTTTAAAAACATTCAAAATTTAAATGGAATTTTTGGAAATTCCAAACGTTTTATATTTCCAACTAGCAGCTATCAGAGGGTAAAAACAGGATATTCAAAATTGTATTTTAAAGCTCTTTAACAGATAATTTAAAAACGCCAGCTATGCTGCTTAATCCCCTCTCCACGAACTGATCCATATGCTATAATAACTCAATTTGGCACATCTGTTCTATGCCATACCATTTATTATTGATGGATGGAATTTCTGTGCATTTAAAACATCAATCAATGCCTTTTGTTAAACCTCCCCCACCCAGTCCCTCTCAACCCCCACCTCAGACAAACTACTTCAGTAGTCCTCATTCATTTTTAATGCCTCACTCTCTGCGAGCTTTACCACCCACAAGGTCTATCAGCAAGAGAAAGACAGCCGCTACAAATCAACCTTTCCACATGGGAAAGGCAATAAGGACTTCAGGTTTGCTGTGAAATATCAAAATTTAGACACACCTGCCTCTCCTTTCCACCAGGAAAAAAAAGAAAACACATTAAATGAAATGAGGTTGCCAACAAAGAGGAAAACCCAGGCACTGCCTGGCCAGCACAGACACAGCGTCCCAGGCCTCAACAACCTTGCAAAGTGCTGTGCAGAGGTTTTCAAACAGCAGAATTCCCCAAAGGCTGTGCACTTAACTATCTGTTCTTATTGTATTTTGGAAGAAACATTTATTGGCGTTTAATCAGGCCATTTGGCACTGCAAGTGCAGGACCTTACTGGAACTCGCAACTACCAGAACTGGACTTTGAGATCAACCACCTCACAACTCTTAAGACTGGACCAGCAGCAAACCAAACTGAAAGAGTCACAGAAATTAGCTTGGAACACAGGGAAAGGCAGTTTTGATTATGTACCTGGTTAAAATCCTACTTGTGTTAAAGAAAGCTAAAAAAAAATTACTTCATATAATTAGTTGATATGTCTACTTCATCAGATCATCTGGATGCAGTTATAGGTTGAAAAACTAGGCCACTTTGAGGGAGAGGAAGAGAACACTGGGCTGGCGGGCCCTCTTCCTCTGGCACAGGTAAGGGGCATACAGCCTCCACAACCCGTCCTCTAGAGTGAGCACACAAGACAGCACGCCAACAGAGCACACGCTCCACAGACGAGAAACACACGCACGCTCTGCCTCCAGCTCTCCAACACCTCATCTTCACTCGGAGGGTCAGCTTTTCTCAATGTTGAGAAGTCAGAGTCTAGGAAGCTGTGAAGCATCAACAGGAAGTAGAGGCCTTTGCAAGCACCTCCCTTGGATAGTCCTCCTGGTCCCAACCCCCCTACCGGCCAGCATAACCCGGAAGTGTGGCTCTCGTTACCCGGAAGTATGGATCACGCTGGAGCAGAGCTACCCATCACGGCGAGAGGCGACTGTCTTTCCCTACGTAAGACTGGGGAGAACTCCGTGTCTCTCCCCCTTTTGTGGAGCAGGGGAAAAAAAAGCGTATTATCTAGAATAAATTTCTGTCTGAATGATTTCATAAAAAATCCAGTACTTACATGTACCATATTTAAGAAAAAATGTTGGGCTGGGAAATAATTGATGCCATTGATAATTTTCCTGAAAAATTAAGAGAAAAAAATCTGCTAGGGGGCAGCCCTGTGGCATAGTGGTTAAGTGTGCGCGCCCCACTTCAGCTGCCCAGGGTTTGCAGGTTCAGATCCCGGTAGGCACACACACACCGCTTATCAAGCCATGCTGTGGTGGCGTCCCATATAAAGCAGAGGAAGATGGGCACAGATGTTAGCCCAGGGCCAATCTTCCTCAGCAAAAAAAGGAGGATTGGCAACAGATGTTGGCTCAGGGCTAATCCTCCTCACACACACACAAAAATCTGCTAGGAAGGTGTGAACTCAATGAACTGGATTGTAATTTTACAATCACTACTCAGTCTATATATCAAATACCTACCTACCTACAGGGAGGCTGAACTTAAGCCCTACAAAAACATACTTTGTTAAATAGCTTTATTG